TTATTTTATTAATAAAAGTAGAAGAAGATATATGAATAAAATCTAATTCAATTCATTTGATTTATAAGTTTTAATAAAAAGAATAATAAAGAAATAAAAAGAAAGAAATAGAAAAAACTATAAAATAATAAGAAGTTTTTAATTTTTTAAGGTTTAAAAGAAAATAAAGAACTAAAATGAAAATAAATTCATCATTTTAATTCTTTTTATTAATGGAACAACCAACGAAAAAAGCAGTTATTCCATTTTGGATTTTATGGAGTGGATTAATTGTATTAAATTTATTTATATTAATTGTCACAATTACTTCAGCATGTTTATTAGGAAATGAAATTGATAATGTTTTTGTAGAAAAAGAAAGGTTTTTAAATTCTACAAAGAAATATATGTCATATTATAATACTATGACTGGTATTGAAAATCAAATTAAAGATATTCCATCATGGGTATATTCAGCAATTGCATTTTGTGAAGCATCATATAGAAAGAATGGACTTGAAAAAGGATATTTAGAAAGTGATGAATATGTAGGATTTGATGAAGAAATTTTTTATTCTACATTAAAAAGACTTTGTCAAGAAAAGAGTAATAAATATTGTAATGTTGTTGAAAATAATGGATCACCAGAATTATTATATTATTTATATGAATTATTTGGTAATGAATTAGTTAAAGGAATATCTCCAAGAGGATATGTTTCTGATCTTAGTAAAAATCCAATTAAATTTGATATTACTGGAATTCATTCTGTTTATACTAAATCAAATGTTACAAAATTAATGAAAGATTCAGGATTACCTTTAACATTATCTTTTGGTACATTTAAAAGAAGATATTCAGTACCATGTTCTAATTCATTTGGATATGTATGTCCAAATAATTTACCAAAAGTACCATGTCCATCATCTTTAGGAGGAGATTGTGTTGTACTTACTTTTAATCCATATTCACAATCAGGTGTTTATGATTATTTAGGTGATTTACATTATAATAAAAAACATAGTGTTTTAGTAGTTGGATGGAATGATGAAAAAAGAATAGACAGAAGTTGGGGAAATGATTTACATAATTTCTTTGATGGTGGGTATATTGTTAAGAATAGTTTTGGATACCAACATGGTCACTCATTAAAATATTGGCTTCAACAACATTCTATTAAAGAAGAAATGCAAATATGTCCTAATGTACGTTCATTTGAACAATGGACTCCATTAGATGAAGATTGTATTAATAAATATTCATATACTGAATGTTGTAATCAATATATAAAAAGAGGTGTTAAGAAATATATCAATGCAACAATAACTCCTTTAATTTGTGATAGTAGTAAAGATGATAAATATCAAGGAATCTTTAAATGTGATACATCTAGAATTTACTTTATAAAATCAAAGAAACATTCATTTGGACCTTACAAATCATATGGTACACTTGATATTACACCTATTAATGGAATTAATATGTTTACAATTAAATTACTTTCATTTAAGAGAGATATGACTGACAAACAAACAATTACCATTCAACCTACTTGTCCTGAAATGCTTGAAGACATTTTTAAGGCTTCATATACTAAATCAGATGAAGAAGCTACAACAAATACTGAAGAATGTGGATATGATTTCATTCCATTTAAGGTATTAGAAAAGTATAATGAGAATTATGTTGTAGATGGATTACATGCACCAGCATTCTCTATTTTTGATATTAAATGGGATGATCAATCCTATCTCAACTCACATACTCAAGGAATGGATTATTCAGCTATTCAATCAGCAACAAAGAAAGTATACCAAACTGTCTTTAAAGGACCTTATGATATGAATTAAGTAAATTAACCTTTCTATTTTTTTTTCTTCTTTCAATAATAAAAAAAGAATTAAAAGTAATTAAACAATTAAAAAGAACTTGTAAAAAACTTAAAAAGATTTTAATGGTGAAATTCTTCTCTGAAGAACTTTGTAAAAGCGCACCTATTATCATCATATGGACAACATTATTTTTAGTAGAAATTCTGTTAGCAATAATAGTTGTTCTTATAGCACAAACTGGATGTCAAGATTTAGAAACGATTAACAAATCATTTGACCCAGATTTTGCCCCTTCATTTATTGTTGGCCCAAGAGACTTTTTATATGGGACATTCCAAAGTGATTATGATACTTCAGAAATAGCAATGTTATTAGATATTACTCGAATTGGGTTATTTTCAAAAATGTGTGATACAGTAAAAAACAATGAAACAAGTATATTTGATATTAATTCATATAAAATAAATGGAAATAATGTTGGACTTAAAAATAATTTTAGTGTAATGTTTAATTATCAATTTCAAGAGAATTCAACAATAGATGATGCTAAGCACTTTTGTAATGGATTGAGAGATTTAAAGAAATGTTCATTATTTGGTTCGTCTCAATTAACATTTCAATTTAAAGGAGAAACAAAGTCAATTAACTCAGTAATTGAAGTAAAACAATTATTAAATGAAACACGTATTCCAATTATTATTCATTTTCCAAAAATTCCTCGTGTAGTTTATTTAAATAATAAATGTATTGAAGCAGGTATTATAACAGAACAAAATGATCCTTATGGACTTTTTGAATATACTCAACAATACACCGCTTTTTCAGGTGAAAGTGATAGAGTTACAGCAATTATTGTTGGATGGAATGATGATACAATGACATCATTACTTGATGATAAACCAATTCAAGGAGGTTTCATTGCAAGAATAGTTGGAGAAGAAAGTACTACGAGACATTCAGTAGATTGGTGGATGGGAAATGTTTCGGTTGACGTTGAGACACAAAGGTGTGGAAAAAATAATTCATATACAAATTGGATTTGTTGGAATAATCAAGGGTCAGAACATTACCCATTTACTACATTAAAATTAAGTCCAAAAATTTATGAAGAGTCAGTTCTTGAAGGAATTAAATGTGCTAATTTAACTATTACTTCATTAGATGAAAATAATATTGAACTTAATTTATATGAACTATTAAAAAAGGGAATGTTTAAGGAAAGTATTTTTGTTCCTTTATGTACTAACAATAAAAATTGGCCTGAGTTGGATGTTGTTCAAAGTGAAAATAATTTCTTCGATATTACTATTACTGAATTTATGGGAGATGAATTACGTTATCGTTTTAACCATGTTTGGAAAGAATTCCTTGAGACTTATTTTGTTCCCTATAAAGTTGAAGGTCTTCTTCAAGAAACCCATGAAGAAACAAGAAATGACTGTGCATATTCATTTATTCCTTATCAAGTTTTAACAAATTATATGAAACTTAATCCAGAAAGAACTGTTTGTTTCTTTAATACTATATCTAACAACTCTTTTTTATGAAATAAATAATAATATGTTTTTAGCATTTCCATTCATTTAATATGGATTCTATTGACTGTTCTAACTCTGATCTTTCTTCGGATAACTTCGATCTTGCTGTTGACCTCCTTTTCCAAAAACGTAATTTCTCACTTCTTCCAAATGATGTTGTATTTGCTAGTTGGCCAAAAGTTCAATTTGAAGATTCCTCATCAACAAAAGATGAATTATAATTGTGTTATTGTTCGTCTAAAAAAAATTATTTTAAAAATTTTTTAATAATTGTTTTTAAAACAGAAAAATTTTGTGTTATTAAGAAAACATTACTTGAAGAACAAAAAAATATAATAAAAGAAATTAAAAAAAAAAACTATAAAAGGGTTTGAAGAATAAGATAATAAGGACAGTAAAGTAAGATAATTTATGAGTAATACCACTAACACTAATGAACCAGAATATATTAATTTACCTGAAAGAAAAGCTGAAATGCTTTGTTGTGTTTGTGGAGCATTAATTGAAGTAAATCCCAGTAGTATGTGTGCTAATTGTTTACATAAAACTATTGATATTACAGAAGGAATTCCTAAACAAATCACTATTGATCAATGTAAAAGATGTAAAAAGTTTTTAGCAGGAACAACATGGTTTTATTGTGAACCAGAGTCAAGAGAATTAATGACTTATTTAATAAAAAGAATCAAAGGATTAAATAAATTAAAATTAATCAATGCATCATATATTTGGACTGAAGAACATTCAAAAAGACTAAAAATTAAATTAACTATTGAAAAAGAAGTCTTTAAAAACACTGTTATTCAACAAGACTTTAATGTAGAGTTTATTATTGTAAATGGATTTTGTGATAATTGTCATAAAGCTGAAGCAAAAAATACGTGGCAAAGTGTTGTTCAATTAAGACAACATGCTGAACATAAAAAATCTATTTTAACTTTAGAACAAGAAATCTTAAAAGCAAACGCTCACCAAAATGCTACAGATATCCAAGAAATGCCTGATGGAATGGATATATTCTTTCAATCTGTTGATCACGCAAAAAAATTTATAGATTTCTTACAAACATTAGTTCCTTTAAGATATCAACAAACAAAGAAATTAGTGTCTCAAGATGATCATAAAAATACTTATGATTTTAAAGTTTCTTTTTCCGTTGAAGTTGTTCCTATTTCTCGTCAAGACCTTGTGTTTCTTCCGAAAGTTAATGTAAATCAATTAGGTGGTGTTGGACCATTAATGGTGTGTACTCAAGTAGCAGGAACATTACATCTTGTTGATGTATTAAAAGGAACAGAAGTAGAATTGTATGCCCACCAATTCTTCCAACATCCATTTGACGCATTAACAAATTCTAAAAATCTTGTTGAGTATTACGTTGTTGAAGTTACTAAAATCGGTAAACCAGTTGGGCAGTATCAATTGGCTGATTGCCAAATCATTAAATCAGAAGATTTTGGTGTTACTGAAGATTATCTATATGTTAAAACCGTTTTTGGCAATACAATCAGAGAAGGAGAAACTGCTCTAGGATATGACCTTGTTAACCTCAATGCTAATAATGATAATTTCGAAAGTTATCAACAACGTGGACTAGAAGAAGGAACATTACCAGAAGTTATTTTGATTGGAAGAGGACATTTGTGAATGAAATAAATGAGTGGTTACAAAAATTAATATTTTTATGGTTACTTATTTTAAAATAATAGAATGAATAATAAATGATATACAAACCTAAACCAAAGCGTTAAATAAATAAATAGTCCTATTATTTTCCAACTCCCCATAATAATACATTTTCTGGAGTTATTGTTTGAAGACAATACTTTACAAGACCAACCTCTTGCATAACATTTTGATTTTTTAACCATACTACTCTAGCAACATTTAATAAGGTTCTACACATTTCACCAACAATACGCTGATCTTTTTGGAATTCTTCATCCACATTAATTGATTCAATTTCATTTATTTCAACACAGTCATCTTGTTTTTCTTGAAGATTTCTTAATGAACTTGCCCACGAAGACATACGATGAATAACAGTAAGTTCTAGTAAACTAACACCAAGAGATTTAAAGAAATCAGACATACAATCATCATGGCCATCTCCCTTCATATGACAACAAAGAGCAATACCTATTCCGTTTAATTTGAATTGTTTACTACATCTAACAGCCATTCTAAGAACCATATCAGTAGCAGACCCACACAAATGTTTTCCTATAATTGAAACACCATCAAATGGTTGATTATTCATTGTTTCCTTAATAAGTTCTGTGGGATCAAAATCACATAGATCAGCAACAATTCGTTTAACTTCATCACCATGATGTTTACCAATTCTATCAAATCGTTTATGAGATGCATTCATTCTATCAACAAGATAAACATAATTTTTATTTTCATGAGGAAGTAATAAATAACTTGCAGATAATTGACCAGTTCCAGCACCAGTTTCAATTATTTGTTGTGAATAATTAGAATTATTTTTTAATACCCTTTTTTCTATTAAATGTTTAATAATTGAAAAACATTGAACTGTCATTTTTTGATTAGGCTTTCCCCAATAACGAGGAATTTCAACTTCAAGAGTTTTTTGATCAATTAAGCAATCAGTTGTATTAGTAATTTCAATATTATTAATTACAGGAGCAACAATACTGCTATATTGTTTACATATAAATTCATACAATCTTTTGACTCTTATCATTAATAATTTTAATACTTCAATATTTAATTTAGAAATTGAAAAATGAATACAGTCACAATGAAGATATTCACTTCCTTTTCTTTTTATATCAATTCCACTTTTAAAAGTTTCATCACTTAAAATTGGTAAAAAAGTTTCTATTTGAAGTGGAGTATTTATTTCTACTACATTTGTTCTATTACAATTATGAATAATATATGACTTTCCATATGTAGGTTTATTTACTGGATTATCTAGACATGCCTGAATATGTTTCCTTAATCTCTTTTTTTTAATAATATGTTCTGAATTAAATGGGCAAATTGTTTTTAATGAATTCTTTTCTTTTAAATGTGCTTTTCGTTCAATTGGTTTTTTTTCTTTTTTATCTTCCATTTTTATCTTTTTATAGTTCAATCTTCGGTTTTATTAGATTTTTCAACAAATACTGGAATGTTGTTTTAATTAAAATTTTATTAGTATAGTAAAATATTAATTAATTTTTTTTATAAGACAATAATAAATCTTTAACAAAAAAAGAAAAAAAACAGTAAGACTAAAACTGAGTAAAAAATCTAAAAATATCAACGATAAATCTCAAAGAGTTCAATCTGAAAAAAAAAGAGGAAAAGTAGATGAGTCAACAACAAGGAAATAATAAAGAAGCAGGATGGGTTAGAGTCCAAATTAAATTATTTACACTATGGATGGACGAAGTACTTCAACAAAGACAAATGGGAGTAAAAGATTTAGCCGTTGATCTTAAAGATGGAATTCGAGTAATTAATTTCTTTGAATTACTTTCAGGAAAGACGTTAAAAGAAAAATATGATTTAAGACCAAAGAATCGTATTCAAATGGTTCATAATTTACATTTAGCAATGCAATTTCTTGAAAAAGAGATGTTAGTAAGAAATCCAGGATGTTTTGCAGAAGATGTAGTTGATGCAGATATTCATGGAGTTAAATTAATTCTTGGACTTCTTTATACATTGTATAGAAAATATAGATTAAGTGTATTAGTTGATAAAAAGAAAGGAAAAAGTATGAAAGAAGAAGATGCACTTTTAGAATGGGTAAGAGAAGTTACTGATGGATATGGAGTTACTGTAGAAAATTTCAAACATTCATTTAATGATGGTAAAGTATATTTAGCATTAGCTCATGTTATTAGTAATAAATCATTTGATTATGATGAATTTAAAGATAAATCAAGAACTGAAATTCTTGAAAAAGCTTTTAGTGTTGCTGAAGAGAATGGTATTCATAGATTGTTAATGGTTGATGAAGTAGCCAATGGAGATATTGATGAACGTGCGTTAGTACTTTATACTTCATTGTATCATCATGAATATCTTAAAAGAAAAGAAATGGAAGCATTACAAGGAGATGTAGAGAAAAATCAAGCACAACTTGAACTTGAATCAAAATCTAAAGATGATTTAATTAAATTAAATGTTGAATTAAAAAATAAACATGAAGCACTTACTAATGAACTTAATGATATGGAGAAAGAATTAGTTGAAAAACGACTAGTGTTAACAGAATTACAAAAGAAAGGAGTTGAATTAGATCAAACTCTTGCTGAAAAGAAAGAGTTATTTGGTAAGATTGATTTAGAAAAGAATGATAGTGAAGTTAATTTAAAAGCAGCAGAAGTATTATTTAATCAATTAACTGAAAAATATGAAAACTTTACAGCAGTTGGAGAAGATGATAAAGAAGAAATTAATGATTTAACTAAAGAAATAGAAGAAATTAGAAAAATGGTAGAAGAAAGAAAGAAACAATTAGCTGAAATGAAAGAAAAAGAAGGAGAATCAATGGCAAGTAAATTTGTAGAAGAAAATAAAAGATCAGTAGAACTAGGAGATAAGAAAAGTGATTTAGTTGAAGAAATAGAAGAGTTAGAAGAAGAAGTTAGTGTGTTAAAGAAAACAGTTCAAACAGCACAAGATGATTGTGATGAAGACAAAAAAGATTTAGAAAAAGCAGGAGAGTTACAAAAATTGTATTTAAATATTCAACCATTAGAAGAAAATTTGAGAAGACAAATTGTCGACTTACATAAATGGGCTCCTTATTTGAAAAGTGAAGAAGGATTTGGACAAGAAGATCCAAAATTAAAAACATTAAATGAACCAAAAGAAGGAGATTACAAAGAAGTCTTTAAAGAGATGGCAGAAGATTTAGAAAAAGAAAATGATGAAGTTGGCAAAATATTAGTTCAATTAAAGAAAGAACAATTACAAAAAGAACAAAAGAAAACTGCAAAAACTGGTGTTAAAAAACCAGTGGTAAAGAAAGATAAAAAATAATCGTTTAATATTTTTTTCAATTTTTATTAACTATTTATTTATAAATAAAAAAGTATATTTAAAATAATAAAAAATTTAAATACCAAATCAAAAATTTCGATTATTGGAATTCAAAGAAGGCAGTAACAAGATCACCTTTAGTTTTCTTAAGAGCAGCGTATGCTTTTTCGTGTGTGGTATTAGCTTGTGCCATAAGAACTTTAACATCTTCTTCAGCTGGAACATATCCATTATCTTCAACAGCTTCAGTAGCAGCTGGTGCCTCAGTTTCAGCGGCTGGTTCTTCTTTCTTCTTTCTTCATTATTGGCTTGTTGTTCTTTCATGTTAGCTTGGAGTTGTTCAAGGAGTTGTCTAGTTTTAGCATCCATGAATTCATTCTTTGGTTCACCATAAATGACATAATGTTCACTTGATGGGAGTTTATAGACAGCTGGATCATGAATAACAAATTTAGTTCCCATTCTCTTAAGTGAGAATTCAATAACATCATGAACTTCAACAAGTCCGACTTTTTCAAGAGCTTTTCTTGCTTTCTTTTCACCTTTTGACATTACTCTTTCAACTGGTGCAGCTTCTTCTTCATGTTTATGGCAGCAACAATCGTCTCCACATTTGCAGTCATCTCCACAATGACATTCTTCTCCACATTTACATTCTTCATTTCCACAACAGCATTTTTTTTCTTCAGTGGCAACTTCTTCAACTTTCTTTGTATCTTCAGCGGACATTGTTTGAGTTAATCTCTAACACTAAAAATTTAGGTTTTTATTATCTTATTTTATTATAATTTAATAGTTTTTTTACTATTTTTAATTAGTTTATTTTCTAAACCTCGTTTTTTTGTTTTTTTGTTGAAAAATATGTTTTTCTTTCTTTCCACGTATTTCTGACGTTGGTTATTATAATTTTTAAGGAGTAGTTTAAAATTAAGTTTATATCAATTTAGTTTAAGTGGATTTAATTACAATAAATTTACACAATATTAGTGTGATATGTTTAAAGTAATTTATGTGAATAAAAAGTATTAAATGATGAGAAGTATAATAGATATTTGAATAACATATCAATATTTTATAAAAAGAAGAAATTTATAAAAAAAAGTTATTAAGAAATAATAAAAAGAATGATATAGCAATAATAAAATAATAATTAGAGTTTAAACTTTAAATTTGTTAAAAGTAATAATTAAGGAATGAGTTACATGTTAAACCCAACAATTATCCTTCTTAAAGAAGGAACAGACACTAGCCAAGGAAAAGGACAAATTATTAGTAATATTAATGCATGTCAAGCCATTGCTAATATTGTTAAAACCACTCTTGGACCACGAGGAATGGATAAGTTATTTATTGAAAATGGAAAGATTCTTGTAACTAATGATGGGGCAACAGTAATGAAAAATTTAGATATTGTTCATCCAGCAGCTAAAGCTTTAGTTGATATAGCAATGGCACAAGATTCAGAAGTTGGAGATGGAACTACTACAGTAGTAGTTCTTGCAGGAGAATTACTTGCACAAGCCAAAAAATTAATTGAAGACGGAATTCATCCACAAGTTATTATTAAGGGATATCGTATGGCATCAAATAAAGCTAGAGAAGTAGTTAATACAATGAAAATTGATTTTGATAAAAAAGATTTAATGGAGTATTTAAAAAATTGTGCTAAAACATCAATGCAAAGTAAATTAATTGCTATGCAAAGAGAACATTTCACTAATATTGTTGTTCAAAGTGTTATGCATTTAGATGATAAATTAGATATTGATATGATTGGAATTAAAAAAGAACAAGGTGGGTCATTAGAAGATTCATTTACATTAGAGGGAGTTGCTTTTAAGAAATGTTTTAGTTATGCTGGATTTGAACAACAACCAAAACTGTTTTATAAACCAAAGATATTGTGTTTAAATATTGAATTAGAATTAAAGAAAGAAAAAGATAATGCAGAAGTACGTATTGATGACCCAACTCAATATCAAAAAATAGTTGATGCAGAATGGTCTATTCTTTATGAGAAATTAGAAAATATAGTTAAATCTGGAGCAAATATTGTTTTATCTAAATTACCTATTGGTGATCTTGCCACTCAATATTTTGCTGATAGAAAAATCTTTTGTGCTGGTAGAGTTGAAGAAGATGATATGAAAAGAGTTTGTCTTGCTACAGGAGCTCAAGTACAAACTACTGTTTCAGAGTTAAATGACAGTGTTTTGGGTACTTGTGGAAAATTTGAAGAACAACAAATTGGTAAAGAAAGATATAATTTATTTAGTGGATGTACTGCTGCAAAAAGTTCTACTATAATTTTGAGAGGAGGAGGAGAACATTTCATTGACGAAGCTGAACGATCATTACACGATGCTATTATGATTGTCAGAAGAGCTTTGAAACATAAACAAATGGTAACAGGAGGAGGTGCTGTTGAAATGGAAATTTCAAGACAGTTAAAGGAATATGCAATGACTATTGAAGGTAAAATCCAATATGTCATTCTTGGATATGCCAAAGCATTCGAAGGTATCCCAAGACAATTAGCTGATAATGCTGGATTTGATCCAACAAATATCCTTAATTTATTAAGAAAGAAACATGCAGAAGGAGGATTATGGTATGGCGTCAATGTTAATGAAGAGGGTATTCTTGATATGATGGAAGCTCAAGTTTGGGAACCTGCTTTAATAAAACTAAATGCTATTGCTGCTGCTACTGAAGCTGCTTCATTAATTATTTCAATTGATGAAACTATTAAAGCCCCAGAGCACACTCAAGGATAAAAATTGAATTGAACGAATGTTTTCAATATTTGTTAATATCATTTATTTTTTGGAAATTGATTTTGATAATTTAACAAAATTCTAGATATTTATTATAAATATATCAATAACAAATAATATCAAAATAATTGAAAATAAATATGTCATTCAATTAATTGGTACTAAATAATAGAGTATCATATAAAACTAATAAATATAATGACAAATAAATATTAGTTATTACTGATAAATCAAATCAATCCATAGACGTAATAAAAAGTGTTTATATTATTAAAATAACAAATGTTTTACTATTGTAATATCTCATAATGAAAATAGTAATTGGTTATAGTAAAAGTGAATGACTATACTCCTAAGTTGTTTTAAAAAAAAACAATCAAATATTCAATGGTAAACATAAACTCATAATTAATACCCTATTACTGAGCATCAAACCAATATAAATTTGATTATTATAAACACAATCACAGAATTATTTAAAAAATTAATAATTCATAAAAATAAAGTAAAACCAATCAATGTCTTATTTAAATAAGTAATCTGAAATGATTTAATAATAAAAAATGATAGCATAAAGAAAATACCATCACATTTAATGATAAAATAGTAATAAATAACATCACAAAAGTAAGACTATTTATTTAGATGTATCAAAACAAATGAAAGTTATATGTATTTGTTAAACTCAATACCATAAAGTAAAAAATCATTTTCTAAGATATTTTTCTTCATAAATTCATTTCAAATGAATTTAATGATAATAGAATCATAACAAATAAGAAGGCCCCGTAGCACAGTCGGTAGTGCATCGTACTTATAGAATTGAGAAATGCGAGGGTCGCGGGTTCGATCCCCGCCGGGACCATTTTTCTTTTTTATTTATTTTCTTAATTATTGTGTATCATATATCAAATACAATCAAAACATTATTAACACATCAAATGAGAGTTTAATATTTTACAACTATAGATAGCCAAAAAGACAACCTATTGAAAATATTTAATGTGTACAAACATTATAATTTATGGTATTAAATTATTTAATATTTCGTGTATGTTCTTATTTGATTTTCTATTCTTTCATAGTTTTTATATTTCAAATAAATAATATGAATAAAATCAATTCATTTCAATTACAATAAATCGTTTTGGTGTGAAATGGTCTGGATATTGTTTTCCACAAAGTGCATTTTCAATTCCTTCATATTCAAATGATGACTGATAACAATATGATTTTATTTTATCATTTTCTTTATGAACAGAGATATCCCATCCACCACCAATTCCAAACAAAGAATCTTGTGGTTGACTACACAGTCTGAATGCGTATCGTGGTTCTTTAATATCAAACCTCATCACTCCTTTTAATTTTCCTTTTAAATTAA